TTTCAGAATGCTGGTGGGTACAAATGCAAAGGTCCACCTGGCAGCTGCAGACTTGAGAGGTGATGGAATAAAAGATTAAAAAATGCAAATGCCAGATTGTTTTATGAGGTAATAATTTGTTAATTACTGTTCTTTTTCTTATTACTGCCATTTACAGAACTATAGTATGTATGTACTTGTATTTATTGTAAGAAAACCAATGACAAGCATTAACAAATGTCATTTTATTTGTTTTGCATGCAAGGTTATCAGTATGGATTATGGAATGAAAGATCAGAATCCCATTGATAATGTTCTCTTCTATTGCAAGGCTGATCCTTCCAAGGCTGTCAAGATCAGTAAAGAACAGGTAGTCTTTTATCTTCCTCAAACGGCCTTCTGAAAGTGATCTTCTTTACAGCTTGCAATGGAAGCAATCGCTGTCCTTCATGGTAGTTCTTGCAGTAGTTGTGGAAAGGTGGTGGAATCCATGTCTTTGCAGGTACTGGGCGTATGTCACAAGATGAGTACAGTCATCTGGAGTCCCAACATCCATTACATATGAAGTGTTTAACTCTTTTGTTCTTACAGAAATATAATTTGCTTAGATAAAGCACATGGATTATAGTGAGATGTTTTTATTGTTTTGAATTTGTATTTAGATGAAGAAATTGAAGTTCCCTGGACTGTAAATTTAAAGAATGAAGCTTATTTGTTCTTTATTCCAAAGGTTTCAAGGCTTTTACCCAGGATATTTGCAGAACAGCTTATTCGGGTTTATTGCAAAAATCTGGATCCAAATATTGTTTCAGCTGCAAAACAGTATTTCGTTCAGTGGTGTATAAAGAGGGATTTCACCAAACCACAGGTAACAAATTTGTATGTTATTTTCTTGTTCTAGTGTTTTTTACCTTTGTCTGTAAGCTTGCTCATTCATAAAAAAATCTATGGATTTCGGCCTTGTCATTGTGGCGTTGCTGCTTCCCACTAACCTAGCTTCTGTTTTTGTTGTGGCTTGCATCTGGACATGCTCTGGTTTCACTGGAATAGTGATGGATTTTCGTTCGTTTAACTTAGGTGATTTGAAAAGCCATATTTTTATAACAAAATTTAACATCCATGCAGCAACTCACTAGTGTATTGATGCAGGTTTCCTCATACAAATACTTAAAATGCCACTGAGAGATTAAAAGATCTAGAGTGGTCTTATCAATTCTTCTGATTGCTTTGGCTCTTTCCCTTTCCCGTTCACCAGCTGTTAAATTTACCTCTCTGATAGGATATACATGATCACTCCATTGGATCTGAGTCAGAGTGCAAAATCCCTGGGAAACAAATTTGCAAACCTCTACTCCCTGGGCAACTAATCTGTAGTCTGAGTGCTTGGAAAGCCTTAGCTGTTCTGTGCTCTCTTTTCCTGTCAATTCTCAGACATACAAGTTTCCATCTGAAAGACTGTATGTTCTCAGATGGAACATACAGCCCTCAGAGGGCTGTATGTTACAGCTCATCTGAAGTTTTGCACTGGATACAGTGCAAGAGCTGCCATAGCAATTCAAATGAAAGCCTGAAGCAGAACTTGAGTTCATATGCTTTGTTTTGCATTCCTCCTGCCAAAAGTTATTGGGAAACCTGTAACATCTGTGGCTGTAAACTGGTGATGTGTGATGCAGCATCCCCATCACATCCCCCTTGCAGGAAGGTGGCGGCCTTTGTCTAATAAAACTACAATGTTCTGATACTTCCAGTATTATATATCAGTGTAAACAATCAGTTATGGTTGTATCAAGTAAGTTTTTCTCAGTCAAGTCTGTCTTACGAGAGCAGTTAATTTCTGAAAGGCTTTTTGCAAACAGATTAAGTAAAAGGCTTATTCTGCTTGTAGCTCATGAAGTATGGTTGTATCTGGCAACTGTATTTTTCTGGTTCAGAGTTACCCATCTTATATGTCCCGCGGCATGCCAGGGCCTATATAACATGCCAAGATAGTCCCACCAGTCTATTTCTGCTTGTTCTTTCCAATGTTTGTAATGCCTTATTACTAGATAAGCGGTCTGACAAGGCTGAGCACCACAGCCTAGACCGTACCAGTTACTGTACTGTTATATACCTTAAGAAGGTGAAGGGCACCTCCAAGCACCTACACCTGGTAGACTGCAATAGATTTAAATTAGAAACTGGGAGGGATTCGGAACAAAAGCTTGTAACAATATTTCCAATTCATATACCAATGCCCAAAATACAAGCCAGCTTCTCAAATATATGTTTTTTTTTTTCCCTGTCAGTTCCTACCACTAACTACAGCAGTTTCCATCTCTGTGATGCATGGTCTTCCATACTTATGAATTTCCAGTGCTTCTAGGACCTTTCATTTAATTTTTCTCCTATGCCTGATAGTGAGCCTCTTCCCCCTGGTTTAGGATAGAAAGAAAAAATTAATTCATTATCATTAATGTTTCCTGACTTTTAATAACAGGATAGTGATGTGATTGCCCCTCATCTAACTCCAATGAAACAAAGCTGGAATAACAGAAGTGGGGATGAATTCAATACAGCTTCGGAACCAAGTTGCAAGCAAAGGCTTTCTTTCAATAAGTAACACTTCTCCTTTTTGCACTATTCAGCTATTTTCTTCAGAAGATAGTTGACCCTCAGTGGCAACTTCTAAAATGCAGTCTGCTCTGTAAAAAAAAATGCATAGAACAATGCAGCAATGCATCTTACAATACAGTATGTTCTTATGTAGACACTTAAACTAAGTGCATATTCAGAATGGACTTCTACAAAATTAACAAGTAATCTGTTACGGCAGAGCAAACTCAATTCTCATTTATTTTTGAATGTAATGGCACTGTTACAGCAAGAGTAAATTAATTAAAAAAAAAAATCATCATTGTTACAAGAAGTGCTGAAAATGTGTTACTGCTCCTTCTAGTCCTGATATTTTCTTAAGGTAATTGTGATGTTACTTGAGCTAGTAGAAAAACTTCTAGCTCTCTTTAAACTTCATTTTGGAAAAAAAAAATAGAGGAGGGGAGAGAAGAATCTTTTTAATATCCAAAGATTACTTTCCTGGTATTGAAAAAGCTGATGAAGATGCAGACCTCTTGCTGTAAAAGTGACCACGCAGCTTTTATTGAAGTAACAATGCATTGCCCTTACATGCAGCATTTTATTGTTTTTATAGTGTATTTTTGATACGTTGAATATTACATTTTTACTACTACACTGAACTGCAAAAACTGCTCAAAACTTCTATTATGGGAGTGGTTGCAGGAAAGCAGAGCTACTTGAATGTTTGTCAAGGTATGTGGTCATGCACACAGTTCTTACATGGTTAGTGAGTCTCGTCAGGGTGCTGCACGGTGCACCTCTGCTAGAGCAGAGCCACAAGTGCACATTGTTTCTGCATTTCACTGTACCAGATAGACAGGCTCTTCAGGAATCCTTTAGTTATTGTATCCTTTTCCTGTATTTCCTGGCTCTGTGATTGCTGTTCTTGTGTATATTTCTCATCCTCGTAGAACTGTAAGAGTTCTTACAATTTTCCTTATGGGCAAACTAATGTGAATGTTGCTAAATGTCCTGTTGGAAAAGCAAACTAGAAAGACTTTTTCCCTCTTGTTTTTTTACTCAGGTCTAAGATGTTCTATTTGAAGGCTGCTTTCATTAAATAAAACCTAAAAGTTTGAAAAGCCTACCCTCAAGATTAAATATCCAAAGCAAAGGTTCTGTAATGCTCAGAAATTGGAACAAGCTTTGGATTTTTAGATCTGAAATGAGAAAATACAAGTTCAGCATTCAATTTTAACAGCCAAGCTTTTGAAACTAACACAGTGGGAAGCCACTGTGTAAGAAAACTGTATAACTTTTCATATCTGATTGTTTCCTTTGTCTTTTTGTATCATGGAAACTGATAGCAATTAGGCAGGAGGTAAGGAGAATGAGTGTTCACCTATGTTACTGATTTGGTTTGAAATAGTCAGAAGCTGTTCTGCGCTCTGCTGCTTATTAACCTGTGCTCATGTGTTTAATGGTGATGCAGCACAGCCTCTGCTGTTCATATCTTTAATGGTATTTCAGATCTGCAGTGTACCAGGTAGCTATTAGGAGCTGTCTTGACCTTTTGAAAAGCTCTTAAAAAATGTATTATGCTTCAAGAAATAACATCGTAGAGTAAAGGCATTTGTCTCCATTATCCACATGAAATCAAGTATTGTTCAGACTAATGTAATTTTGTTATGGCTGCTTGGATTTGTTTTGATGTTACAAAAGGTGCACTTTATATTTGGGAAAAGCTTTTTGCTCACGTTTAAGCAAAAACTTGTACTTAAGTCTATCAGATACTAAGTTCTGAGACAGAGCATTTCTTTTTCTCAAACACATTAATCTGAGCCTTTCTGTACTAAAATAAATGTATAAGAAATGATTTTAATATTCTTTTAATGAATTTCAGTGTGTGAACTTCATTTAAAAACAGCACGGTTAAAACCAGCCCGATGTTCTTCTAAAGGACAAATGCTGATTTGTGGGAGGGACATCCTCGTGAAGGATCTGGCTGAGGAGGCAGAGTGCACCTTCAGCAGGTTTGCAGGTGACATGGAGCTGGGAGGAGTGGCTGAGGCACCAGAGGGTCACAGTGCTGTGCAGAGGGTCCTGGGCAGCTGGAGAAAGGGGCTGGCAGGAATCTCCTGCAGTTAGACAAAGTGCTGCCCCCTGGGGAGGAACAGGCCTGGGACATTCCCCCCCAGCTGGGGGAAGCAGCAGGGCAGGGAATGTCCTGGGGGTCCTGGTGAGGCCACATGCGGAGCACTGGGTCCAGTTCTGGGTTCTCTGGTGCAAGAGAGATGGACAGACTGGAAGGAGTGTGAGGGGCCAAACTGGGAGGAATGTCTCATGAACAGGAGGGCTTGCACCCAGTGCCTGAGCCATCGACCAGGATGTGCGTGCACATCTGCTTGTGCCGCTTTCCTTGTACAACTTCGTGGTGCTATTACTTGTGTTCATGACAGGGACAAGGCTTGGAGCATGGCTTTTCCCATTTATTGATGATCAGCACCCACTCACACACCTGCCCTGGTGCCACCAGCCCTATGGCAGCGGCCAGCAGGGCAGAGGCTGTCCCAGCTGCTTGGTCCTGCGGGCAGCACGCTGCTCTCAGTCTGCTGCTTCATCTGGCCTCGTGGGGAGGCTATGCCCCATCCCTGCCAGGCCAGGTCCTCAGGTGCTACCGGCAGAGCTGGCGTGGCAGCAGCACTGTGGGGCTGGCCTCCTGCAGGGCTCTGTCCCCTCACCCTTCACCGGGTGCGTGTGGTGGGGACATTTGCAGGGCTGGGGAGCAGGAGGCAGCTGTGGCCTTCCCCCAGCACTGTCCCGATGGGCGCTGGAGGCGGCTGGCCCCGTGAGCCATCAGTTCAGGCTCTTCCCCTGGCAGCGGTGTCCATCAGTCAGGCCAGGCCCCACACCTCCAGGTCCTGGACGCAGAAATCCCCTCGCGGTGAGAGGCTCTCGTTGTTGAACGTCTCGCAGGGGTGGCTGCCCCCGTGGTGCAGGTCCCCGTCCAGCCACAGCCCAAACCTGCCGCTGGAAGGTGCAGAGGCTGTGCTCAGCCGAGGCCCTCTCCTGCTGCCTGGCCAGCTGAGCCTCACAGCAGCTGGGACCCCTACCTGCCCCCGCCGACCATCAGCAGGTCCACGTCTCCCTTCACGAAGAAGTTGTTCCTGCCCGTCCACCTGAACACCTGTGGGGACAGCGATCAGGCCACCCTGTCCCTGTCCCAACTGCTGGGGCTGGGCCCTGTCAGTCCCAGCTTCAGGGCTCAGAGCCTGGAGTCCTGCAAGGAACAGCTGCAGCCACAGGGCCGGGTCCCAGCCCCCAGCTGTCCCCACCAGCAGCCATCGGAGCCCTTTTGGTGCCTCCCCCTGATGGCACCATCAGGCATCAGCCCCCTCAGACCCACAGACCACCCCTTTTCTCCCTCCCTCCCCCAGTTGCCATCCCACTGGCTGTGTCCTGTGCTGTGGTGACCTGGTGGCTTTGTTCCTGGTGGACCAAGTGCGGCTGCATTACCCTGGCCCATCCCGACCTCCCACCAGCACCTCAGGGTTCTTCCAGCAGGGCCAGGCCGTGGGGCATGGCTGATCCCCACCCTCAGGACCTCCCCCCCTTTCCTCTGACCCCACAGCTGCAGCCCCCACCTTCAGCTCTGGGGAGAAAGAGAAGAGAAACGTTTCCCCTGTGCCGTAAAACTTGTTGCTCATGTGAATGGCGGTGGCGAAGAACGCACCGAAGGCCTGGGAGGGGGAGAGACGAGCAGATGGGGCCGTGCCACGGGGTTGAGGCGTGCGCTGAGCCAGGGCTCTCTGGCACACACAGCGTGAAGCTGCTGTAGGGTGGGGGATGCTGTGGGGTGGTGGGTTTTGGCCTTACCTGTGCATCGGTGTCTCGGATGAGCAGCAGTGCAGGGGAGCTGAGGGGGCCGGCACGCCGGTACAGGGTCCTCAGGCTGAAGCCGTCCCGTGCGGTGCAGTACAGCAGGCTCCAGGGCTGCTGCTGCAGCCGGGGGGGCAGGTGGGGTCCCAGCTGGGGTAGGGTGGGCTCAGAGGGGCTGTTGGGCTGTCCCAGCTCCCCTGCAGCCCTGCCGCTCCCAACCCCCAGCCTCCCACGATGCACATCCCACCCCCAGCATCCTCCCCCCTCCAAGCACCCTTCCCTTGAAGCATTTTCAACCAGATTCCTATGCCCAAGAGGCATTCCCAAGCAGCCTCCCAAGACACCTCCTGGAGCATTCTTCCCCCAAGCATCTTCCCAAAAGGTCCTGCTGAGCATCCTCCCAGGACTCCCCAAGCGTTCTCACCCTAAGCACCCTTTTGGAAGCCAGAGAACCTGCCTGGATCCAAGCAGGAGACCAGGCTTGGAGTGAGGTGTCCCACAGCTCTGCCCTCTGGTAGGGTGTGGGGCCTGGCACCTCCGGGGCTGTCCCCCAGATAACTGGGGCCTTGGGGAGCTGCAGCCTGGCCGAGGCACTGCCACCTGTGCCTACCGTCCCCTCACCCAAGCCCATGCAGGGCATCTAGCAACAGGGGCACCGTGCTGGGAACCCATGTGGGGGCTCCCCAGATTTGGGTCCCTCTTTGGCAGTGCCAGCCCTGAGGTCCTGCTCACGGCCCCTGGTCCTCCAGGAGGAGCAACGGGCCTTGAGCTGGGGCAGGGGGACACGACTGTCCATTGGAGGGGGGGCATCACCCATCCAACCTCACACTGGCACGGCTGTGGCTTGGCAGCTCCTCACCTCCTTGGTGTCCCTGTCCCGCAGGACGCGGCTCGGTGTGCTCAGCACCAGCCCACACGGCTCCTCCGGCGCCGCGCCTGCAGCTGGGGCCCCCTCCCAGCCTGGCCGCCCCTCGCCGTCCGGCTCCACGCAGCCCACGGGCAGGTCCTCGTCCTGGTCGGGCTGGGGATGGAAGGAGTCAAATGCCTCCCTCCCACCCTTCCCCTACGCCCACCCCACTCCCCCAGACCAGCAGCCTTGCCCCAGGGGCGCAGTGTCCCCAAAGCTGCCCCGCACAGGGGTCTCCTGCCCTGGGAAGGGTTCCCCAAGGCCTCTGCAGCCCTCGGACCCCCCAGGGGTGGGTGCCAGGCTGGGCCCGCTCTCGCCGCTGCCATGCCGGGCCCTGGCACCCTGCCAGGCGGTGCCTCCATTGCACGGAAGTTCACGGGTGCAGGGCCGCCCAGGGAGGAGATGTGGAGGAGGAGAAAGAGGAAGAGGAGACGAGGAGAGGTTTCCACAGCCTCGGCTAAAACTCAGCCCTGGCAGAAGAGCTTGCAGCAGTGAATCCCGGCTGTGCCCTCCCCTGCCCACAGCAGGACCGGTCCCGTGCGTGGGGATGGTGAGGAGCCTCGGGGCAGGTGGCTGGCCATGGGGTCAGGGTAGATTTGGGCACAGCCCGCACCCCTGCTCAAGGACAAGGGGGGAATTGGGGCAGAGCCAAGCAGCTCCTCCAGCTTCCCCGTGGTGGGAACAGGCAGAAAACATCCCAGGGGACCAACGGACGAGGGGGCAAGGCAGGGGCAGCCCCAGAGGGACCAGGGATCCCCGCTGGTGCTTAAATCACAGCCAGGCTGAAGGGCAGAACCCCAGTGTGCCCCATTCCCCACCACCACCCCAGGGGCAACCCCACAAACGGCCCCATGCCAGGCACGGCAGGGCCAGACCTACCAGGAGGTGGTAGCGGGCACGGAGCCCCCTCATCATCCTGGGTGCTCCTGGGGTGCCGGGAGCCGTGCTGCCAGGGCCACCTCGCCGCCACCCGGGGTTAATGTTCAAGCGCTGTGACGCAGGGCCGGGCGTGGAGCCCCACAGCCCGGGTCACCCAGATGCGTCCCCAGGTGTCCGCCTCCACTTCTCCCCCCGTGGCTGGGGGCTGTCACCTCCTCTGCACCCTGGCTGCTAATGTGGGCTCAGCTGATCCCCAACAGCGTGGGGAGCCCGTGTTTTGGGATCAACAGGCGGGTCGCGCTCCATGTGTTGCTCTTTGCAACACGACTGTTGCAATAGTTGTTACCTGTCAACATCGAGTCCCAGCGTGGCACAGGGCACGGTGCCGTGCTCAGGGCTGGGTGGCCTTGGGTCGTGTCCTGTGGCCAGGCAGCCGCGCGAGCTGGGGCTCTGAGCCTGCAGCAGGAGGGCCCAACCTTAAAATAACTTCCCTTCTGTGCAGAGATCAGACAGTAATTAAAGGTGGGTCCCGTGCGAGGCAGCACCCTGCATGGTAGCACGATGGCTGCAATGGCCTGCTCCTGCCTTGCTGCACGTTGCCCGCTCCCCCAGCAGCTTTGGGAGGATTTTGGGAGGTCCTGCACCTGCGGAGGAACAACCCCAGGGGCCCCGTGTCCATGGGTGCAGGGCCCATGGAGCCGGACAAGTGTCAGCTGCGAGGGGAGCAGCCACATGCAGATTCTTCCTTCTTTCCAAGAAGGAAGAAGTTAAAGGACCAGTCTTCCATGCCACTTTCGAAGTCTTCCTTTCTGCCAAAGGCCACAAATTTATATCCAAGCTCTGCTGAGCAGCCTACAAACACCCCTCAAACAGCGGCCTCACCAGAGCACAGTGCAGGGGGAGACCATCACCTCCCTGCTCCTGCTGGCTGCACTATTCCTGAGACAAGCCAGGATGCTGTTGGCCTTCTTGGCCACCTGGGCACGCTGCCGGCTCAGGTTGAGGCAAACATCAATCAGCACCCCCAGATCCTTTTCCTCAGCACAGCTTTTGAGCCACTGCCCCAAGCCTGTAGCACTGCACAGGGTTGTTGTGGCCAACGTGCAGGACCTGGCACTGAGCCGTGTTAAACCTCATCCCACTGGCCTCTGCCCATCGGCCCAACCTGGCCAGATCCCTCCTGATTTTTTTTTTTTCTCTGCACAGCTGACAACTTCCCTGTACTCTCTCCGAGGTTCCACCCCCTTCTTCCACCAGACATAAACTCTCTTTTTCTCCTGGACACTCAGCAGAAGTTCCCTGTTCAGCCATTCCAGTCTTCTTCCCTGACGGCTCATTTTGTGGCACACGGGGACAGCCTGCTCCTGGGCCTTTCAGACGTCCTTCTTGAGGAGGGTCCAGCCTTCCTGGACCCCTCCGCCCTTCAGGACTGGCTCCCAAGAGACGCTCCCTACCAGTGCCCTGAACAACTCAAAGTCTGACCTCTGGAGGTCCAAGAGAGCAGTTTTACTGACACCCCCCTCTTGGTGGAGGCAGTCCTGAGGCATGGCGTTGACTTCCTTGCCCTAGACAGCTTCCTGAGCAGACTTTCCCCCACATCCTCACCATGGCAGGGGACAAATTCTGCTCCTCACCCTCCTCTCGCTCAGCACAGAGCACACAAGAGGCATTTAAAACTGGCACAGTTTATTGTGCTCTTTGCCATGCCACGCACACGGCAGCTGAGCAGCCCTGCCTGCACACCCCCCCCCAGCCCAGGGCTGCAGGACGGGGTGGGCTGAGCTGGACTCGCAGAAACGTCCCCTGGCAAAAGCGCTAATAGCAGTGCAGTAAGGCAAAAGTTTTAATTGTAAAAAAAAAAAAAAAAAAAAAAAAAAAAGATTTGTTCATAAAACTGCCTGGGAAGGTCCTTGGCATGTTGCTCTCTCAATTCCTCTGTACCAGATGCAGTTTGGTTTCTGTACCCACAAACCACCAGCCCTTCAAATTTTTTTCTTGGGATGAATGAGGCACGGTGGCTGCTTCCAGTCCCAACACCAGCGAGAAGGCTTCCAACACCATCAGTAATGAGTCTCAGTGCCACATGCAACCAGTAGAGCCCAGTGTATTCCCTTGTGGTGGGTCACATTCATGGGGTGAGCAGCAGCAGAAGCTCTGAAGTGAAGAGGTCTGAATGCAGATGGGGGAAGCAGTGAGGAAACTGAGGGACGGTGTTTTAATGGGGCCCTCCACGCACAGCCACAAGATACCATCACTGTGTGCAATGGGTAACACTGGGAGTGGCTATCCTGTACTGGTAAGCTGCTGTGGAACACCAAGAGCCCAGCAACTCCACAACAGCAGTGTCTGAGGCTCCGTCAGAGGTTGGTCTGCAGCCTTAAAGGGGAGATTTTGACACCTCCTGGTCCCTAGCCCAGGCAGGCAGCTTGCCCATTCCACGTCCAGGCTGCTGCCCCAAATTATCACAACAGTGTAGTGCAAGCCCAGCATTGCCAAGCTTTGCTAAAATACAGAAATAAGGAGTAGTGGTTGTCTGTCTCCACAGTAGTGTTTCTGTGCAGCTCCGGACAGGAAGGTGTGTGTTACTTCAACGGGATAGACCAGTTACCCCAGCATCCTGCTGCTGCTTTCCCCTGCCGGTTCCAGTTCTTAGTAGTCGTTTGAGCTTCATTTGAGCTCCAAGATTATTACCTGTGGCAGCAGCTTCGGCTGTCCTCCTTCCAACAGGTCATTCATCCTTGGTTGCCCATTTGTTTCACAAGCTCCCACTGTGTCTGAGCATGTGATTTTTCCAGAACCCACAAAAGCAGAAGAACCAAAAAAGGGCATCTGCAGGCAGGGCTTATCACCAAGTACACAGCCATTGTCTTGTGTCAAGCAGGAATGTTACTGGGAAAAGCAGTGAAGGGGAAATTTCCAGGAGAAGCAAATATCTCCAAGAACCAGTGACAATGAAGTAAACAGTTTATGGGCTGAACTGCTTCTGGGCCAGAGATTCAGTCCTGGTTTTAGCTCAAACACTTCTTCCAGTTCCTGCTGGACTGCCCAGAGTTGAAGGGTGAGGTGAGGCAAAAAGCGCAGCTGAGGGAAGCAGGGAGATGCTCTGGTGGAGGCATTGCAGGTTCTACTTGCAGCTTTTAGCCTGCACTGCGTCCACTGCTGTGGAAGGTATTCCCAGAAGAACCTCAGCTCTTTCTTTCAGTAGGTATCATCCCCAAATTCAGACCTCATCCAAGGAACCTTCCCCACCCACCCCATATACACCAAGCTTTACTGTTCCGTAGAGTGGTCCATGTCCCAAGGACTGGTGGATACAATCCTTACTTCAAAACAAGCATGGCCTCTGTCCCATCTTGTCTTGTCAAATGGAGTCCGTGAGTGAGGTAGTACTCCCGCCGGAGGAAGGCATAGAAATAATCTGAGATGAGCAGGATCTGCAGAAATGAGACGTTCAGACACATCAGTGATGCTTCAGAACAAAAGAAAAATGGGGATGTGTTTGTGACAAACCCTGAAGGGGCTTAAGAAGCTCCTTGGCTGCTCATCATGCTTTGCAGATGAGGCACTGGGATCTTGTGAATACTCCTTGGCCATGGCCCTACTGTACAAAACTATGGGAGACTTCAACTCACCCATTTATTGTGCTACCAGTGTGCTCCCACAGACACCTCAGCTAAGGAGACAGCAGCTCCATAAAAAGGCCAAGAAGTACGACAAAGGTAGGTCCATATATTGTTTACAGCTTTACAGACCACCTTTAAGCCTCATCCACAGGACTCCTGTGCATGCAAATGCTGTCATGCAACTCGACCCAGAGGCTCAAAGTCCCCTGCTGCTGACTGGCATTAAGTAGGTTTCAATTGCCATTTCTAGTCAGAAAGGGTAAGAAGCTTGCAAGTAGCAGCAGAAACTTCACAGGTCAGCCTTAGCAAACAGAAGTTTCAGCAGTTTGACTATACGTACCAGGGTGAGGGGTGATGGAAAGTCAAGGCTGTGGCTTCACAGAACCATGTCCAGGAGCAAAAACAGATAAAAGCACCCTCACCACTTTCCCACCTCCTTCCTGCCGCTGTGCTGTAGTGCCCTCTCTGTGGGGCAGACAACCCCTGTGTATTTGTTTGCACACTTGCTCCCTTTCAGTGGGAAACAGAGCTGGCTACTTCCCCTGATCCAGCCAGAGAACGCTTCCATAGACACTGATGCTGGCATCATCCTGTGTTGCAAGGGACCTCCCTTGCATGCTTCAGGCTGGTGTTGCCACTGGTCACATTGTATGGTGAAACCACAATTGATGCACCTTCCTCAAGAACTGCACAGAACGTGGAAATCTGGCATGGAAACCATGCGGTCCCTGCCTTCCCCAGGCCACCCTTCTGTTTTGTTGAGGCACTAGAGTGCTGACTGTTCCCTTGCCTAAAAACAGTCATAGGTGAGAACTAAGAGTGGGTCTCAGGGCCAGCTGTGCTGGAGTGGTCAAACACAGGATGTTTTTTCTAAAGCACTTTGGGCAAACTGCTTTTGCAGAGGCAGGCTGGGCTGCAGTAGGCACAGCAGCAGCGAGTGCCCTGCTGTCTCACTAATGCCATTTGCCATCCAGCCTCTTGTGGTGCAACCCTCCCTTCCCACTGGAAACAGCATCAGTGCCAAACCTAACCAGCAGTTACAGTCCCAAAGCAGACCAGCAGGTGCTGTCCTTAATGACCAGATGCCATTAGCACATCGCTGGGGAATTCATGCCTGGGAGCGCCTCACCTGAAGTATGCTGCATTGCTCAGGGGACAAAGGAAGACAGAGAGCTGGTCTGTCAGCCAGAGCCTGCCTGGGTTACTGTTAAATACAGCTGCTGCTAAGAAGGCTCAGCAGCAGGAAGAGAGGACATGTAGGACTGGGTGAAATCTGAGGGAGAGGGCTGCGGGCTGCTGGGATCAGAGGAGAAAGTTGGAAGGAAAATAGACAGAGATGGGTAGAGGTGGCCAGGGAAGAGGGAGAGCAGCAGTGCTTATTTTGTTTGTTTTGCATTACACTATGGCTGACTACTTGGCATGCTACGTCAATATGGTTGATTTTATTTTCAATTAAATGACTCTGCAGATATCTTAACGGGAAAAGAAATAACTGGGGATGGCAGGGGTGCGGGCTAGTTCTTTCTCAGAAAGAAATCAGAAAGGAGAGTTTTGCTCTGTCTGTATTGGCACAGAGCATAATACATTGCAGGACCTGCTGTGATTTTCTCAGGTAGGAAATAAAATCCTCTTAGATCAAATGCTATCTGTCATTTAAATTTTACTATTCCTTTCATTCCACGGCAAGGTGTATAATTAGACAGCTAACAAACCACAATTCCCTATAAGCCCTTCTTAAGGCTTATATGCATCTATATGCTAACTCTACTCGTTGCATGGAGTCCCTTTCTGCTTTTACAGAACAGAGGGTTTTATATCACAGAGGGTGCTTGCCCCCATTTATCAAGGGGCTGGGGAACATACAAGCAAGTGATTTTTCAGACTCTGGCAAAATTGCTCCTCTAGCTTTAGGAGATGCAATGTCAATGTAAATGGCTGAGGTGCACTGATAATCAAAGCAACTTTAACATCAAGTGAACGTTCTCCTTATTTCCTCATCCACATGTGAATATGTCCCAGGACCTGGGGATTATCTACAGACCATAACAACTAGCAGAAAAGAGGAAGGAAAGCCTTAGGAAGGGTTGTAGCAACTGTGTAGATTGGATCTCATCGTCCAAGGTTGCTAAGCTCTGTTTTCTCTGGGGGCAGTGAAAGTCATGAATCTAGAAGGGCACAGCCTGGAGAGGAGGGAGAGCAAGCCCTGGCACGAGCGAGACCAAACGCATGCCCACAGCCCTACATTTCAGTGAGGTGTCATGCTTAGAAAAATTGGTGCCATGGCCCAGCACTTAGGCAGTTCTCATTTGCCTGTTGCATGGACACACTGCTGCTGCCCCATGGTCTTCTCCATTCCTTCTTTTCTCAATTCATGTGCTATTTACCCTGCCATACTGAGTTGCTTTTCCTCTGCTATCAAGCAGCAGACTGTGTAACATGCAGAGTGAGCTGGATTGTTAAGCTCTAGTTTAAACACTACAAGAACTCTTTCCCCATTAGTGTGCCAGAAGGTGAGGACTAGGCAGGTTTCAGCTGGAGCAGGAGAGGCAGGAAGCTGCTATGCTGGACTGTATGGGCCAGACACATCCTGCAGAATTCACTGTTGCTGACAGGACACCCGATCCAGTGCAATCCTCAAAGTGCAGCCTGGTTTGCCTTGCTCTACTAACCTGCCCTATGTTGAAAGTCAACGTGATGGCATAATAAAAATTGGAGTTAGCACTTCCTGCATAAATCCATAGATGCCACAGAACAGGGAACAGGAGGGAGCAGACAATGAGCACACATGACAGGATGAAGATGTTCCGGAGGACTGCAAAAGAAATAAAAAGTTATTAAAATGAAGCTTTATTGAACAGCCATGCTCATGCAACCAGCAATGGTATTTCAGGTTTG